CATGCATTTCCACTCTCACCACCTGAGCTACATACTTAACAAGTCAAGCACTCAGTGCCGTCCACATTTATTTTGCAGTTACTTAATGATAGATTATGGAAACCAATGAAATTGACAAAGGAAAAGACAGAATTTTCTTCTCTATACATAAGGTTGAATGCTCCTAAAAGACTCAATACAAGTAAACAAAATAATGAATTGTTGTAATAGATGTGATAATTCACTAATAAAATCTTGGAAATATAATCGCTCAGATGTCACAGGTATCTTAAGTTTTTGCTTCACCTTAAAGAAATGAAAGCTGGAAAGACAAGGCAGGCTGTGGACCATCCCAGAAAGAAGAGCCCCACATCAAAATACTGGTGAGTGAATTTACAGGTAGGCTAAAACACAGTGTTTGTAATACATATGTATCTTTTATTATTATTATCCCCAAATTCAAGTGACCTCTTAGTTAACAGCCAATCACCAGTTTCTACTGCGTCTCCTAAACAGGCCTCTATTGTAGCTTTCTGCCCTCAACTGACAAATTTCATTCTAGTTCTACATACCTGCAGTGATACAATGCTGCTGTCTTGCTACAAAGTAAATGTACAAATTCTACCTGAAAAGATAAAAGAATTGGTACTTGGAAGGCTCCAAATACAACAAAATGTTCTAGTTCATGATGTCACTCTGTGAAATAGATTATTTTTAGCAGATTACTGGCCCTGGAACAGGCCTATCTCTTGCCGTTCTCCTCACTGTAAGGGTGACGTGGGTCCTGCAGCATACAAAGGGCAGGAGGAGGGCACTGGAAGAATCGTCAGCAGACTCTCATTTGCCCCATACACAAAAGGGGATTTTGGCTTCCAAGATATCTTGAAAGATAAGAAAATTACACAAAAATTGGAATCTTCAGAACATAAGTTAGTAGGGGAAGTGCTTAAGTGAAAACAGAATTCACGGTATAAAAACAAACACGACCAAGTCAGGTAAAGCATCTCCTCTGGCTCACAAACCAGATCCACTTGTCCACGTTAGTTCTGAATGTTAAGGACACACTGGATCAAAGGGAAACCAAGACGTGGCCCGAGGCACCTCCGCCCACATACACAGCCACACCACAGCTGCCGCTACGGCGTCCCTGCGCACGCACTCCCACACCCACACCAACTCAGGGGCCCAAGTATATACCCACTTGGATGGCAGATCGTCATCCTTTCAATGCTGAGAGCATTACAGAGATGATGGAAAATATCACAAACAAGTTTTAAGGACCGAGAAGGGAGAAAGGAGCTACACAGCAGACACAATTTATTTGACAGAACTTTAGAAAATGTAAATATTCTAAGAACTCGCAGAAGAATAAAGTCTGGGGCCTGGAAGCAAGATAAAAATAAGAAGAAACTGCGTGGCTTCTGAGGCTATAAATGTTGCTTATACATACACATTCTGAGGCTGAATTTGAGGCTAAGATGAGGTCAGGATGCTGAGGGTCCAGATTGTGTTAGTTGTTTCAAGCCCCATCAACAAAGTATCTTTGTTTTCTTCCCCCAATTTGTGCTGAGGATCAGAAAACACGGGAACATTTGTCTGTTAAAGCAACACACTTCTGCAAGAGAAGTACCCTATGAGTCATCCCTGACATACAGGACGCGATGAGAATCACTCCAGCATCAGAACATCTCTGGGGCAAAATATACAGAGTTTGGAAAAAACCACAGAATCTACAAAACTACTCAGCTGGCAACAGAGAAACTGAGTCGCTCAAAACATTTCACAAAAAATTTTTACTCAGTACCATATATTTCAGAAGATCAAGCTGGACTTAGTAACTATTTGCCAAAAGCATGAGCCTGGAGAGGGAACAAGTAATGTAATGAATTCGGAGCCCTCCAGCAGGCATTCAACAGACAAAGCCTTAGATACCCAATTGCTCACCCCACTCAGTTGCAAAAATCATAATAAAAAATATTTACTGACAAACCAACTTCTTATAAAATTACTACTTCTTCAAATATCTCTGTTTTTAAACTCGCAACTATCAGTGCTCATTGTGGTAACCCTTTGGTCAGTCTCTCCGTGAATTTTGATGTAATGTGTATTAACTTTGTAGGGTGACAGAAGGTAACCAGACTTGTTATGGTGATCATTTTGTAGCGTATATACATTTCAAATCACTGTTATACCTGAAATCAATATAATATTATGTGTCAATTATACTCAATAAAAGAAATTAGGAGTTCTCAGAAATTTTCGAGGAAAAGGAAGCAAGTAAAGAGTTAAGTATAGGGGCGCCTGGGTGGCTCAGTGGGTTAAAGCCTCTGCCTTCGGCTCAGGTCATGATTCCAGGGTCCTGGGATCAAAGCCCCGCATCGGGCTCTCTGCTCCACAGGGAGCCTGCTTCCTCCTCTCTCTCTCTCTCTCTGCCTGCCTCTCTGCCTACTTGTGATCTCATTCTGTCAAATAAATAAATAAAATCTTACCAAAAAAAAAAAAAAAGAGAGTTAAGTATAATCTCAAGGATTTTAGCTAATGAGAAACAAAACACTAAAAACAATGGTGCCACTGACAAATTATTACAATGAGATGGAAGCTGGAGTAGATCCTATAGTAAATTTCTTACAACAATTAAGGCTGTCAAAGAAATAAAGAAAAAGGGACAGAAGTCTGGGAGACAGGTTCTAGGTCTGGGGCACAGAGCCAGAAGAGAGTGCAAACAACTACAGTGTCAAAAGCAAACAGAACAGGTGCAAAGGTGGGTAAATGCAAGAAGAAAAGGTGAAAGCCACCTTTCTGGGGACCACCGGAAATCTTATTTTTGAGGCCATGGGAATGTGATCTTCCCTCTGTTACAGAAGTGAAACCTTTCAGGAAGGGACCAAAGAAGCACCTTACCTTAGTAAGTCTGCACGTATGAACCGCTCTGAGTTAGAAAACAGTTTACAGAGTTAACTCACAATCCTTCCACCAGACAAGAGCTAATGTTAATCCCATTTTACATACGAAACAAAGGGCTCCAAATACAGTCAACTTTTTAAATATCATGATACACTTACATGTCCAGTAAATATATTTCCCCAAAATTACAAAGATTGGCTACCCATCAAAAACCACCTCTTAACAAGAAAATCTATTGGTCTTGTCACAAGGCGTAACATGCATGCTTTCCTGCTACGACAAAGGCGGCTTTAGCCAAGAACCCCATCATTCAAATTAGCGGCTAAAAATTATGTGCCTTCAAAGACACCAAGTGGAGGTGACAATTGCAGCGTGTTATCAGTGCAGGTAAAGGGCACGTTTTCCCTTCTTTATGACTTCCAGTTGTGGAGGAACATTTAGTTTCACTCCTCGTATTTCCGTAGGTGGGGCAGAATTTTCCACCAGAGTAAAAGCAAAGGAACAACATACCTGGCTTTTCTCTACTCCTTCACTCTTTTTTTTTTTTTTTTTTTTAGAGAGAGAGAGAGAGAGAGGGAGAGAGAGAGCACAAGTGCATGCATGTGACCAGGGGGAGGGGCAGAGGGAGAAAATCTCCAGCAGCAGAATCGCTGTCGACTGTCCCAACTCAGGGCTCGAGCTACAACCCTGACTGAGATCATGACCTGAGCTGAAATCAAGGGTTGGTCCCGGAACCTAGTGAGCCATCCAGGCGCCCCCGCCACCCGTTCACTTTTAACTGCCCAGGAGAAAGGGCCTGGCTCGGGGCAGTGGCTAGCCTGGGGCCACGCTCGCTCGGCTGAGCTCTTCACTCGCTCTCTTTTTCAGATCTACGCGGGCTGCAGAACCTAATATGTGCTCCTTCATGTCCTGTTAGAGAGGAAGCTCTTGCCTCCACGAGCAAGGTCTCCAGCTGTCCGGCTGCACTGGTGACAAGCACAACAAGTCACTTTAATTCAAGTATTAATATGTCCACTTGGCTACAGATCTAAAGCCATTCTCTGCCATGTTTTCTCAGTAGTAAAGCCGACACTCTCATCTCCAGCTGTGTCTCCTTTCTCAGCTGGTTAGACAGTTGAGAGGAAAAGACAAAGACGTTCTTTATGGATCCCCTAAAGCCACAAGCCAGGATAACAGGTAAAATAAAAACAAGCCAGACAGAGAAGAGTTCTTTGTTTTTCCTACCCGTCCTCCTTATTTATAAAGCATTTAATAAAAATCCACACATGTGGGTGACAGGACACATCAAAGAGTACTAACTCTCACGTCACAGCACTGCCATCATCACATGAGTTCAGCATCAGTTAAAAAACCAAAGCACCAAAAACCTAGTGATAGGGACTACACAAAGGCAAAACAAAACAAAACAACACAACCTAGGAAACAGTATTCGCCTCTAGGAACAAGATCAGATTTTGAAGCAACCTCTGGTTAGATTAGAGGACCTGATATTTTAAAGGTTCTTCTGGACTTAAAATTCTGATTTCTAACTAAAATTCTACCTGCAGTTTGCACCCATCCCTTTAAATCATGCTTTTTCTATCTTCTTGAGCAGTTCAAGGAAAGTGCAGTTATACAAACAAGTCGATGAATAAACGTGAACCTCATATTCTTCGTCTGTAAAAATCAGCATATTATCGTGGACTTCTCAGAGTTTCTGAAGGGAATGAATCAGGTAATAATATATGTGAAAAAGTATCAAAACTCTGGACACACATTTTAGTTTTGTGTTCCGTTTTCTGTGGCGCGCAGCCACCATCTGTTGCCACTAGGTGGCACTGCTGCACGTCAGGAGGGTAGTCTGGCTAGTCTTCACCAGCTACAAGCGAAACGTGTAAAAATATGTGAAAAACACAGGGGTTTTCCTACCATCTGATCAGCTGATGCATAAAACTTCAGACACCTGAAAGAAGAGTCTATGATCACTTTATATTCTATAAGATATAAAGGTGCTATTAGCACCTTTACTTAGGTTTAAATCCTACCTCATTTTACTTAAGAAGTGTGGGAAATCCCGTGAAACAGCATCGTATACGGTAAGAGTTGTTGACAGCTAATGAAAATGTTTGAACATTTACCTCTGACCCCAAACTGAGAGAAACAATCTCATCCTCAAAAGCAGAATGTGTGTCAATATGAGCAGGAATTCCTGGGACAGAAAATAAAATAATAGGTCATTTCATTTGTCCTTTCAGTAGATTGAAGACACACACAGCCTCACACTATACCGGGGAGAACACTGCTGCTCTCAGGAAGGTACCGTCATTTAGTGAAAAGCAAACGCCGAGGGTGAATGCGACTCCAGGACATCAGACCAAACCTGAACGGAAAATTTCTCCACTTCACGGCGAAGAGCCACTAGTTCCGCTCTGAAACCCAGATGCGAGTCGCTGCTTACCTGGGGCATTCGCCCAATCCCAGCCCAAGAGAATGCGTGGCAGATCAATGCCAAAGTTCTGTTTGCCCGTGAACACGGGATTCCCAAGCACAAGCAGAACACAAGCAAGAGCCGGGTGTGAAGACTAGACACACGCATCATTCCGACATCAACTGCTCAACTACCTTCACTGAGCATCTCCCAAGACGAAGGACTTTGCTGCGTGGCAGGAGTATATAAAGCAGGAAGACAGAGCCCTGTCCCCAGGGAGCACACACACCAACAGAAAGACTGGCAGGTACATAAGTAATTACAATACATTGTGATAAAAGCAGGAAAAACCCCAAACCCCATGATGTCTGCCATTGCTAAAATCCTGAAGAGCATTTCACTGCTACAAATACCCCAAGGAGATGCTGCTAAAAAGTGCAAAAAAACTCAGGAGCCTAAAGACTTTTACTAACATATCATCCTAGAACTGTCGTCACACTCTCAGAGGAGAAGGAAGGAAGAGCAAGAGCAAAAGCATCCAGCCAAGCAGCCTTCTTCTGGGTATCCCACCACACGGGCATCATGTGTCTTCGCAACAGTCTCCTCCCCCATCTCCGAATGAAATGCTGAGACAAACAAAAAAGACTACAGACAGCGATGGGGCCAGTCTGCTTATCTACACTTTGAGACACAAATTCCTCAAGGGATTAACGTGCAGATCTGCAGGGGATTAAACAGCCAACACAGGTAACAGACACAAGCAAATTAATGCGAAGAGTTAGTTTACCCTAAAAAATCATACCTTTGATTTTAGAGAGTTAAGGAATCTACTTAGTCATGAAATATATGATTGCAAGGTGGAAATAAAATACTCACCATGTCCAGGCTCATACTGGTTAACAGTCAGTTGATCAGGTTTGTGTTTAATGAAACCTTCCTTCAACCACTTCTCCAGAATGCTATCCCAAATGCCAGGAAGACCTGATGTCAGTAATTATAACGATGAAACATTAAAATATTTACTTTGCATGTTTTACTCAAGAATTAGAAAAGCCTGGGTGGCTCAGTGGGTTAAAGCCTCTGCCTTCAGCTCAGGTCACGATCTCAGAGTCCTGGGATCGAGCCCAGCATCTCTGCTCAGCAGGGAGCCTGCTCCCCACTCTCTCTCTGCCTACCTCTCTGCCTACTTGTGATCTCTGTCATATAAATAGATAAAATCTTAAAAAAAAAAATTAGAAAAGCCACTGTGAAAAATATCACAGCTTTTATTTAGCAGTCAAGATCTAAATATAACAATAAACCGATAAGGCAAAGCAAAATAAAAACGAAACCTTCAGAATCTTTAAAGTTATTTTATCGATTTTTAGTGAAACAAAATATCCAAAAGAAAAATTTTGCTCACAATTTTGGCATTTTGTAAAACAGCAATAAGATTATGAAATTTACTATTATATACTGGAAATTAGGCTGACCACTCTTTCTTGCTATTTTAAATTATTCCACTTTATAAAATTAAATTTAAATTTAACTTATTTATTCCTTTTTTTTTTTAATTTTCTATTTATTTAAGCAATCTCCACACCCAATGTGGGGCTTGAACTGATGACCCCAAGATCAAGAGTCGCTCCTTCTTCCAACTGAGCCAGCCAGACACCCCTAAATTATTTCCTTGTAAAATACACAGTTTTGGGGATGCCTGGCTAGCTCAGTCTGAGGAATATGTGACTCTTGATCTCAGGCTATGAGTTTGAGCCCCACTGAGCCCCATGTTTGGTACAGACAGTACTCAAAAAACTAAATATTTAAAAAACAAAAACAAAAACATAAAATAGTTTTCAAAGTAAAACTAACTTACTTTCACTGAAGTCAAAAATATTATTTTATGAGGGAAAGTAAGCTTTCAATAAGATTAAAGTCATACAAATAAACATAACTCCCACACAACCCTACCAAACGTTTAATTTACAGATCATACAATAAAATCTTATTAATTAGTCAACCCAGTAGCAAAAACTGGCAAAGGATATGAAGGGAAATTCACAGAAAGGTAAATAAAAATGGCCAACCTCATTAGTAATCGGGAAATTATAAAGTTAAGTTTTATTGTATCACATATTGGCATAGGTGGGGGGAAGGAGGTACACACTGGGTAAGAACCATGTCGATACAGCTGAGTTGGGGGCAGTTTTTCAGTATCTGTTAACATTTTTAAATGAACACAGCTTTGACATAACGATTCTACTACTTAGCAGTCTCCCTTGAGAAATTCTTGCTTACTGCCTAAGAGATATACACAAAGACATGCACAGCAGCCCTTATAAAGTTAAAAACTAGAAATAAGCTAAGTGTCTACCAACAGGGAACTAACTGAGTAAGCCACTGCGGAACAATGCACACAATGAAAACTCACGGCAGATCTCCCAAACATTTAATAAAGGGAGAAGAACAAGCTGGAGGCATCCACGTGAGATGTGAACATGTAACACACACTCTAACACTATGTGTTTACGACTACACACTTTTACAGTCTCTCTGCAGGGACGTAAACTCCTTTGTTACAGCAAGTGTCCTCACCTGTTAACAGTACTGCTTCTGAGAAGTGTGGGAGTGAGGATGGTGTTCAGGAGGAACTTTAGCCTTAGCTACACGTATCCAGTTTTCACAAAAGCTCACTATGAATGTAATGTAAATATTTTAACTTTAATCAACTATTTCAACAGTGTACCTAGAAACAGCAAACGAAACACACTATGACATACTTCCAGTACATTAAATCTTTCTTTCCTGAGCCAGCATTTGTGGTTTCCTAGCAATTACTTACCCCCAGGTAATGGCTTGTCTTTATCTATGTTGTTGTTCTCATAGTGGAATTCATAACCAAAATGCTTTACCCTCCTGTGCTTCAAGGATTTTTGAACTAAATGAAGAAAAAAAAGGAAACTATTTGAGAGAAAAATATTTGCATTCCTTTGTCTATTTCAAAGTCAAAATTGTGAGTCAGGATTCTTTTAGGAATGGTAATTTTTGATAACTACTGGATTATCTTTAAAAAATTAACCATTCTGGGCACCTGGGTGGGTCAGTGGGTTAAGCCTCTGCCTTTGGCTTAGGTCATGTCTCAGGGTCCCGGGATCCAGTCCCGTATCAGGGCTCTCTGCTCGGCAGGGAGCCTGCTTCCTCCTCTCTCTCTCTCTCTGCCTGCCTCTCTGCCTACTGTGATCTCTCTCAATCTGCAAAATAAATAAATAAAATCTCTCAAAAAAATAAAAATAAAAATAAAAAATTAACCATTCTACCTCATCTCTGTAGTTCTTTTCAATCTAAAATGGTTACAAAGCCTTGGAGTTTCATCCCATCAACCCGGAAGAGTCAACTACGGATGCTGCCACTCACAAGACTGTTTATGATCTGGGAAGAGTCAGAGGAACTCTCATTTGCAAAAATCTCCAAGAGGCTCTCACTGCATTGAGGCAGCAAGGTACTGAGCCGCTGATCCCAACTGGAAATGTGCCCTGTGGGGGTTTGGGGGGACAGGATCAAAGAAGATAATGTACGTGAAAGGGCTTACCAATGTTGGCTCTACAAATGTTAGCTAATGAATATTAATTAATTTAGAGGTTAAAATTGATAACTATATAAATGTCATTTATTATTAATGCCCTTAAGAAATGTTGGCATGACTTGCCTAATATTAGATCTAGGCTACTTCAAGTAATTTTGAGGAAATATTAGAAATTTTAATAAAGCAAAGGAGGAAGAGGAAAGGAGAAGCACTAACATGCCATTTTGCAGAGACATTTAAATATCATATTTTAGAAGTTTTTCTTACCATTTTGATCGTCTATATCCTCTGCCCAGTTAACGCTTTCCAAAAGCATTTTCTCATCCTCAGAAGAAATAATTTCTTCTACTACCATGAGGCCTGGAGGTAAGGCCTGAAGCCCCATCTCTTTCCATTGTGCTTGGGAAACAAAAACAAAACAGTCACAGACAGAACTTAAAGTTCCTAAACACAAATAATTCTGTCCAGAGGCCATTTACCAGTTCATAAAGTTCCCAATCCTCATATTCAGAAATAAGAACGCTAAAGGCACATGACATAGGAAAATACAAAAATGAAAACCAAGATAAAAATTATGGTACAGTGTATCCACCACAGTTAGCCAACAGCAAATAAAAAAGTGTTTACTTAAATATTATTGGAACACAACTGAGCTACTTTTTAAATCTTACTAAGAAACAAGGTTTGTCATAGTATCTACAGTTTGCCACTCTATTAAAAAGCCAGACTGTCTCTAAATATCGAAAACAAAAATTTAAATGCTCATTTTTGCCCTTAGGGAGAAGCTAGCTTCCCGCAGAGCAGGGAGCCAGATGTGGAACTTGATCTCAGGACCGTGGGATCGTGACCTGAGCCGAAGGCAGACGCTTAACCTACTGAGCCACCCAGGCACCCTGCCCGTAAATTCTTGATACTAGCTATGGTCCAGTAACAGGAAAAGCTAAAACAACAAAAAACGTATTCTAAAGAAATAAAAATATCATCCTATGAAGAATTATTCGGTTTATATTAAAATAATTTTGGAATCCCTGTGCCCTTCAAAGTTTAAGATAGGTGTAGCAGTGAAAGAAAAAGAAGAACGGATTTATAATTAAAGGGAATAATGCAATTCAATTATCATTAGAGAGCTCATTGTTCATGCTACAGATGGGATCTCTAAAATATTTCTACTGAAGAGTTTTCGATCTTGAATCATTTAACATAAAAATTCACAAAAATAATAATATAAATGTCTACTAGATTTTATTATTGTTTCAGAAACACAAATAGTGAATCGCCTGATAAATATTTACCAAGTGTTTACTACATGTCAGGGGTTACATTACTTATTCAAATTATGTAAGAAAAGCTTTGGGGAAAATTACTTAAAGACAGGCAATTTACAGTACAAGTAATTCATACTTAGTTTCCTAAAAATAGTTTTAAAAAAATAGAATGAGAAATACCCCCTTGTATTTCTTACTCAGTGGCTCTCTGGTAGTAATTATCGAAATCAGTATCAAAACACTTGTGACACAGTTCTGTTCTCTCTTTGTTTCTACTAAGATTTATTTCCTAACAACAGCCTTGGAAATACATCTGGATCTAATGTGGGATTTCAAATAAGGTACAGTCCAGAACTCTGTGCAATTTCTTACAGAGCCTTTAACATACTGACTACAGGAAAACCGAAGGACAGTACTTTCTCATGATCCCAGGGTCCTGGGATACAGCCCCACATGGGACTCCCTGCTCAGCAGGAAACCTACTTCACCCTCTCCCACTCCCCCGATTGTGTTCCCTCTCTCACTGTGTCTCTGTGTCAAATAAATAAATAAAATCTTTAAAAAAAAATTACTCCCAAACCATTCAATTTTTTTCCCCCAGATTTTATTTATTTATTTCACAGACAGAGATCACAAGTAGGCAGAGAGGCAGGCACAGAGAGAGGAGGAAGCAGGCTCCCCACTGAGCAGAGAGCCCGATATGGGGCTTGATCCCAGGACCCTGGGATCATGACCTGAGCCGAAGGCAGAGGCTTTAACCCACTGAGCCATCCAGGCGCCCCCAAACCATTCAGTTTTCAAAAGCTGGTCATAAACACATGCAATACAGAGATAACAGAGTTTTTAAAATCTAAAGCTTATGTCATATTTTAAATTAAATACATACAGATACTGAGAATTCTAACTCTTAAAATATATCTTTATAAAGTCTTTAAAAGTTTCCTGAGTCTTATTTTACAAAAACATAAACTCGGTCAGATTATCGCCTACCCATCCCCGGGGTATCTGAACAAAATATTAAGTTGCCTAAATAGATGGCAAATGAGTATAATGGGGGACCAGATGTCTACATCAGAGTTCATCTCAGTACATCTTATTTCCATGGGACAGTGGTGAAAAGATGTAATAATCTCTGTAGCAGTTCTGTATATCAGTCTACAAAGATTTTATTTATATTTCCTTAAATAAAAGTAAATTAAAAAACCAGTTCCGCCACACACAATCACGTTGGACAGTGCGCCTGTGAACGTATGAACGTTGCCATCATCACAGAAGGTTCTGCTGGACATGGCCACTCTAAAGCTTCGGGGATCGCTGCTGGCTGGAGGTGTTCCTTCCCCCATAAATGGCAAGCCTGGCACACAATTCTTCGGATCACAACTGATTTTTAAGCGATTAATTAAAAGCTTCCAGGTAGACGCTATAAAACTGGCAATCTGAATCCCCAATGTTAAATTGTGAAAAAAACAATTAGGTAGCGGGGTTCCAAAATAAGTCACACGGATAATAAACAGACCGTGAGGGCAGTAGGGCCGGCTCCTTAAAGGCAGGCTATGCCTAACCCACGTCCCTTCCACGACTGGCCCTCACACACGAGGTGGGTCAGCAGCATCTGTGAGACAAAAAGGGGCTGCTTAACTGAGTTCCTGTCTGGTTTCACAATCACTGAACCTCCTAATGGGGGTATGAAAAGAAAACTCCCACAAAACTAACGACTGCTTTTAAAAGACACCTGTAGGGGCGCGTGGGTGGCTCAGTAGGTTAAAGCCTCTGCCTTCAGCTCAGGTCATGATCTCAGGGTCCTGGGATCAAGCCCCAGATCAGGCTCTCTGCTCAGCAGGGAGCCTGCTTCCACCTCTATCTCTCTGCCTGCCTCTCTGCCTACTTGTGATCTCCGTCTGTCAAATAAATAAATAAAATCTTTAAATAAATAAATAAATAAAAGATAACTAATATACTATACTAATATATACTAATACCTTTTTCCACAAAGTTCAAGTACAGAATGATCTTTTGTCCTAAATCACCCACTATTTCTTTTCCGTTGAGGGTGACGTAGGCTTTCCTGGCTTCTTCTGCAGTTCTGTATCTCACAAATGAGTAGGGCTTATTAGGGGGCATCAGGAGATCATCCACCAGGCCACACTTCTCTAACACGGGGAGCAGCTGGCTCCTGCCCACACCGTTCCCCAATCCACCATTGGCAACAACCAGATTCTTTGAAAAAACAAAAGAAGAAGAAGAAAAAAGACATGAGCAATTAGCATCAATCCATTTATTTTCAAATAAGATGTTAAAATGAAACAAAGTAACTTTCTTTTTAAATAAGATTTCCACAAAGGTGTAATCAAGATGGGGGAAAAAAGGGTCCCCTGAGATAGGGAAAAAAGGTTTCCTTATGGTGGTTATTTGGTTTTCTAATTTCATACATAGTATATAAACCAACTTATTAAATAGTACAGATTAAAAAGTATACCTATGATATAAATAACACTGATTTTTAAATAGACTTTGCAGTAAAAAATATTCCTTTCTTAATGGCTATACATACAAATTAAAATCTCACATTTATTACCACTTACAAGTTTAACACAATGAAAGAGAAATAGACGGAAGACAAGGAATAGGAGTTACATATTAATTTCTGCCAGACTATCCCTACCTTAATCTACTTAACCCTCACAACAAAGCCTACAAAGTACATGATATTAGCCCCACTTCACAGGGTAGACACTGAATAGCAGAGAAATTAAGTTGCGGTAGCGATGGGGGAGTTGGGTTTCAAACCTATTTCTGTCGGTTTCCAGAAACCACACTTGATATAACCATGATATGAGGTTACTACAGTTTCTACTGAATATAAAACAGGAAAATTTTCCTCTGTGTCTCAGTAATTCAGTCATTTTGCAATTAAACTTTTTCCTTAGTTAAATTTCATGCTTACTTCCTATTATTTGCAGTCCTGTGCTAAATTTTATTGAAGGGATTTGTTTGGTGGGTAGAGCGGGGAGTTTCCTATTTTTATTCTGATGCTTATGGCCTAACACCTCGTATAAAACACTTTACACAGTGTTACGGTTTTTAATTTATAATCTATGACGCCTAAAAACTTTGTAGCCTAAAAGAAGTAAACCACTGATGGCATACTCTTATCAGTTTTATTGCTTATATCAGGCATTGACAAACTTTTTCTGAAAACAGCCAGACAGTAAATATTTTAGGCTTCTCAGTCAAGTCTCTGTCACATGCTCTTTTACATTTTCAACAACCCTTTGAAAATGTAAAACTCATTCTTAGCTTACAAGCCAGATCTGACCTGGGGACAATACTCTGCCAAGCCCTGATTTATATACAAAGCAGGAGATCAGAATGTAACGTATTAGTTTCATATACACCAAATGGGGATATCTAGAAACCTGACTTAAAAGAATTAAATAGTTTATTATAAAACTGGACAAGAAAAGTAAAGCTCTGTGCTATCATGGAAGACCCAATACTTCATATGTTTGCAAACACACAGATACACATGATGAACCAAAACACTAATACGATGATATAAAACATGATAAAAAATTTAGTCTAAGATGGCTTGCCTTGGACCTCATTCAACAAGGTTTATAAAGTACTAAAATAATTTGGTTACATGCAGCCATAGTTACAAAAATATTTCTATATTCCCAAATCTTAGGAATTGCAAAGGTGTTATAAATGTCAAGGGTCCGTGACTCCTTCTAGAACTGAGGAGCATGGTGAGGTGTGACTGGAGGAATACTAATGGTCCACAAGGATGCTGTTTAAGTGATCTGTGGGCAATTCTAAAGGCAAACCACACAAAAACAAGTGCAGAGGGGAGGAAAGGGAGGAATTTATTTCCTACTGTATGTGAGTCACACAATATAATAAAAAGCAGAATGTGTCTTATTTATAATTGTTCGAGCAAGCAAGTTTCCCAACAATATGAAGTAAAGAATTCAGAATTTTTTTTTAAGTTATCTTCAGTCCCGACAATTTGAGGACCACTGCTCTAAAAAAAATCTCACTATGGCTACGAATGTGCATAAAGGCACGCATACTTAGCACGCATCATGAAAAGAACATTTGTTCTCTCCTGGATAGATAATATGCAATTAGAGGTTCTTCTAGAATTTTATTCCTTTCTTGTAAAAATACTGTGGAGAAAAAATAACCAAGCCCAAATAAGAAGACAATTTGGAAGCCATGAAGGTGAGGTTAAAGCTTCTAGAAATCTAAAAAAACAGATCCACTAGAAACAGCTTCAGAGGCAAAACAAAACAAAACAAAACATTAACCACTTCTTTCCTTACACCTGTCTCCACGACCCTAGAAGGAAAAGAAAGCAAGTTACATTTGGGAAGAGAACAGAGACAATGTCAGTTTCATCTTCTGAAGGTCTCGCAACCTCGGTGGCTCTTGGCAGAAACAGCAGAGTGTGTGCCGTCATATGACTTCTAATCTATGATGTATGCTGTCTTCTTTATAGGAATTTGGCTTAATTCTCTGAAGTCATTAATACTGTGTCTAATCTAAGTACAGGCCTATTACCTGCTAGATTTAAATCTCCCTCAATAGGGGCATCCGGGTAGCTCAACTGACTGAGTGTCTGACTCTTTTTTTTTTTTTTTAAGATTTTATTTATTTATCTGACAGAGAGAGACACAGCGAGAGAGGGAACACAACCAGCAGAGCAGCAGAGGAAGAGGGAGAAGCAGGCTTCCAGGGTGGCTCAGTCGTTAACCGTCTGCCTTAGGCTCACATCATGATCCCAGGGTCCTGGGACCAAGCCCTACATCGGGCTCCCTGCTCGGCGGGAAGCATCTGACTCTTGATTTCAGCTCAGGTCATGACCTCAGGGTCATGAGACGAAGCCCCACATCAGGCTCTGTGCTGAGCATGGAGATTAAGATTAAGATTGCTTAAGATTCTCTTTCTCCCTCTCCCTCTCCCTCTCCCCCTACCCTGCTCTCTTTCTCTCTAAAATAAACAAATCTTTAAATAAATAAGTGAATAAATAAATCTCCCTTAACAGATTACTCGTTTCTAAAACTATCACACAGCACAGAAGACAGTGTAACATGATACAACGGAGGAGCACTGGTCTGAAACCCAAGTTTTAATCCCAGCTTCACCTTCTCAAGGGCATGTGTTTGGCCCTTGGTTAGATGATGGCTGATCTTCCTTCCTACCCCTAAGAACCCAAAAAACAACAACAACAACAACAACAACAACAACAACTTTGGATTCATGTGGAATTTTAACAATGAATAAGCACTGTCACATACTTCTAGAATCTAATCCAATGGAATAAAAACACATACGATACTGTGTCTTTACAAAGAAAGCTGAGATCAAAGGGACTGCTCATGTCCAAATAAGAGGAAAAGGTAAGAGTTAAACTAAGTTTTTCTTAACGCACAGTCCAAGAAGTCTCATAGTCCCTCATATGTATAACTGATATATATTATAGTATAATATATATAATTTAATTATTGCCATTAGAAAATGAAAAGGCTTTGTAAATAAGGTCTGATAAATTAAACCTGTTTTATAGCACATAATCAAAATACTTATAACAAAAATGGAGTTAGGAATAGAGGGGAAAGAGAACATTAGGATACAAAAGACTGAGGTTTAATTTACCGTTCAGCCACTCTCTCAAAGGACGCACCACCTGTCAGAGCCTTAGTTCTCTAACCCCTCATGTAAGAATTCCAAAGGGATTAAACACAATAATGAACAGAAGGATGCTTTGTAAACTCTACACAGTCATACAGTGTTTCTGTTAACATACACCACCACTCCCTCCAGGTCAACCCACACGGCCAACAGAAATTCAAACTATGTCCCCAAAATAGAAAGTCAGTAGGTCCTGTCGTGTGTTTACTGAACAGAGACATAACACAAGACTGAAGGGGAACGGCCTTCTTCTCTGAGCAATTAGTAACAAATGTGACGACGACACATTAACATGGCCACATTCAAACAGTAAGTTTTTGGTTACCTGAGTGGCATAGGACACTGTCTCAACGCCTTCGTGTCTCAGCAAAGTATGCCTGGCTTTAATCTGTTTCCTTAAGAACTTCTTCTCGGTTTTAGTGAGTTTGTAATTACTGTGATGGTTGCTGTCCATGACAGTACTGGGGAAAAAAGAAAAAGGTAGAAAATGACAACTTTAAGAATCCTAACGGAAGTTATAACGATGCTATTCATATATTCTATAGTTTATAAATATTTCTATGTGATCATTTTTTAAAAGGCTTATTTGACTTTCCACCAACCAAGAGAAGTGAAAACAAACTGATGTCTGGACAACAAAGGGAGATTTAAGAAGGTAACAAAAAAGCAAGAACATCAAAGAAGCAAGAGCACCTCCGAGCATTCTACAAAATGTTCCAATGCTTTAGCTCTAGTAATGGCACCACATTACCCACAGGTGACTTATCCCCTAGCTTGTGAAGTCCTAGGTAAAATGTGCCGCAGACAAATTCTACAAACATAAGGTTAGGAAAGGAAGAAAAAAGGAAACAAAAAATTTACAGAATATATGGTATGTTCTATTTGCATAAAGTTCAAAACCCAAAAGTAAGCCATATATTGTTTAAAAATACACATATAGCAACATGCAAAGAAATAATAAACACGAAAGTCAGGACGGAAGTTGTTTCTGGCGGGAGGAGAGGAATGTGATACAAAAGAGACATACAAAAGCATCAAAGGTATTTCTTAAGCCATATGGTAATTTAGGGTTTTTTAATATTTTTTAAGCTGTACATATTATGTATGTTTATATCCATAATTTTCAAATACAGATATCAGAACCCCAGAGGACTGTGCTTTCCTTCTACTAAAATATATAAGTCAGCAAGTAGTTATGGAGCCCTTTCCCACAAAGGCCTTCACACTATCCAAATCAACACCCTACATCATGCCGTTACCTATTTATTTGTCACAGAATTTAGCACAATTTGTGATGATTTGTTTCATAGCTTAATCTCCCCATCAGGATGTAAACTCCAAGAGAGCAGGAAAGTCAGACATAGTAGGTGCTCGATAAAAATGTGCTGAAAAGATAAATGCGTGATAGCGGGCAGATACACACGTGCCTATTTACTGTCTCAGCACTCCGCAGCCTACAACTACAATACACAGGTCATGCTTTCGACAAGATTAAAAATTAGTTGAGGAAAGCAGACAAACACGAAACGGTGAAAGAATAACGTATCTTGACACAATTAAGTGTTAACTGCAGAGTCTTCCGATGTGACATGAATTAGAAAAAAAAATAAGATCGCTGTTAACAGGAAAAATCTGGGAGAACTTCAAAACAGAAGCTGACTTGAGCTGAGCACAGAAGGGCAAGAGGAACACGGAGTCATCTGGAAGGGAGGTATCCAGTGAGGCAATAAAGAGCAGGAGCTAAAAACAGAAATGGCAGCATCTGGCCGAGACAGGGAGAGGTAGGCGTACGTTGTTTAGAGCAGAGACCACTGGCTGATCCGCCGATCCCACTCCGCACCCACTTGAAAGTCTTCAAAGTTAGCAAACAAAATAAATTAAGGAAGTAAAATAAAATGTATTCCAAAACAGCTCATAAACAGCCAAAACTCTCATTACGAATCTTTATGTCTAGAGAGAAAATGCTGAGTCGCCTGGAAGAACAGCCAGGAGCTACGGGAGTAACCCACAGGGTCGGTGCGGGCAGAGCTGAGGCCGGTAGGGCAGGCCGCCCGGACGGCTTCGCAGGGAAGCGAGAAGCAGGAGGGTCTACAGCAACCGAGCAAAAGAGAGAGAGACCGGGGCAGGACAAAAGAAAAGTTCTAGTACCTTCCGTAGGACTTGGTGACTACGGAGATGTGAGGGAAAGAGGAGACACAGATCATTTCCGAATGGGACAGAGCCCGAGTGACTGACAGACCAGCAACTTCATTCTCAAACTGGAGAGTCAGAAGAGGGTCAGGAGGAGAGACAGTGAGGAGTAAGGGAAGTCAGAATGAGTAGGACTGAGGCTGTAACAGGGCTGGGGCCCTGGTGAGATACACAGTTGCAGGGTCTGGCTGGCTGGTGACAGCAAGAAGTGGCCGGCTAAAAGGAGAAATCAGGTTAGAAAGCTTTCTGTGTCATTAGACAGGAGGAAGACAGCTGAAGGGATTTTTTTTTTTAATTATTTATTTGACAGACAGAGATCACAAGTAGGCAGAGAGGCAGGCAGAGACAGAAGGGGAAGCAGGCTCCCCGCGGAGCAGAAAGCCAGATGCGGGACTCGATCCCAGGACCCTGAGGTCGTGACCTGAGCCGAAGGCAGAGGCTTTAACCCACTGAGCCACCCAGGCACTCCGAAGGGATATTTTTGACACTGCACTGATTATAACTGTTTGTTCTAATGTTTGGCCCCTTCCATTGGACTGTGAGCTCTTTGAGGACAAAGATCACGTCATAACTGTCACCGTTTCCCCAGGGTCTCCATGAGTGCTGCGAGACAGTATAATAACACAGTGTTCTACATTCAAATCTCAGCTCTACCACTTACTAGCTGTACCATCCTGTGCGAGTTCTTTCCTTCTGTGCTTGGGTTTCCTCACCTGTGAAACTGGGCTAACGGTGCCTGCTCTTGGCACATAACTCCTCCTAAACCCTGCACTAAAAAACTAGACCAAACTGGATCATGGCTTCTAGCGGCAAAAAGCCACATCCCAGGAGGGCCCCAGCTTCCCCATCACAATGCCTGCCTGAGAAAACTAAAAATGCTGCAGGAAATTTTACTATTTGTTCTAGCAACACCTGCCAATAGGCCCTTGATCTCCCCTTCTTAGACCATTTATTAAAAGGTGATTACAATTGTGAATATGTATCTCTTGCAACTCAAAAGTATCTCTCAGAGCACCTGGGTGGCCCAGTCAGTCAGGCAACCAACTCTTGATTTCAGCTCAGGTCATGATCTTGGGGTCACAGGATCGAGCCCTACACTGGGCTTCACGCTAAGCATGGAGTCTGCTTGAGATTCTCCCTCTTGCTCTGACCACCCCCCACAAGTCAACGCACTTGCACTCTCTCTCTCTCTCAAATGAATAAATAAATCTTAAAAAAGAAAAAGAAAAAAAGAAGTATCTTTCTCAAGGACCTGAGAGCCATCCCTTTGAAATGTAATCATCAGGAAGGATAGGGCCTCTGTTTCCCAGTCTCTGTGGCAGGACAGAATCCTATTTTTAACTGCTAGCTAGCAAACACAGCTGGCCTAATTGCATTTGCAATGACCAACCCCTTGTGGTTTTTTACTTCTCTGACTCTGTGGAACCCCTGTTCTACCTCTCACCCCATTCTACCTTTAAAACACCCAAATCGTTTCTCACAAACTGGAAGGGAGCTCAGCTCTTTCCCCTACTGTCAGTAGTTCCTAAATAAAATCTGTTTTCACTACATTCATGTCTGGCTGTGTTAATTTCTGACACTAGCTCATAAATTTGTTAAAAGAATTAAATATAATTAATAAATTGTTGATAACTTCCAGAAGAGTGGGATCAGAATGGTTTAAGGAGATAAAGAAAAGCTGAAGGCCCTCAAAGGAACTATCTTACTGCCATTCAAGATCATCATCTTTGGAATGGCATCTTTGCAGTGTGAAATGAAAAACAAGGGATAAATACACTAAGAATTCTTCTTTTGATATGTCACATGAGCCAAGACTGCAAAGTAGAAGAGATAAGAAAAAGATGCTGAACATCTTTTTAAAAAGTATGACAGTAAGAGCCTCATACCAGCAGATGGAGCCTCATGATCACATTCTGTCATCTTCTCTACCTTCTTCCTTTTCTTTTTTAATTTTAAAATGTTTTACTTGAGTTCAAACAATTAGCATTAGAAAATACTTTAAAATTTTTAAAAAGTTGCAACTCTGAACTCAATCAGAAATACTGAGTGAAAAACAATCCTATTAATTCAAATGATAGTGTGTTTTGTTTTTTTCCCTTCTTCCTTTTCGAAGACAAATCCAGATAGCCCCGAAGGTTCATTTGTTCCCCATGCCTGTGACTTGGCAATGTGCAGGCCCAGCAGGTCTGAGTCACCTCAACACAAGGAATAGGCTGATACCAGCTGCTGAGTTCTGGAGGTGCCCCCTTTCTAACAAGGTGACTTCCCTGGCCAAGAAATCTCTACTATTGCACAAAGGTTTGGGTGTTCCTTGCCATGCTGTGGGAGTGTTATGGGATGTTACGGGAGTGAGGTCACTGTTCACTAGAGAGCATTCGCCATACTGAGTCCAGTCTAATCAAAAACGATCTAAGCGCACTCTCTGTGGGAGAACAAGATATTAGAGATTACACAGACTCTGCTAGTAAGTTTAACCCCAACATATCCTATTGGATATTGCCCCAAGGGCAAACTAGTGTGATCCTGCCCTCCTTGAACACCAGAGTGTCCATAATGAACTGATGCAGCATAGGAAAATATTCCTGTGCTTGTAGATAAATTTGAATTTAGCAGCTATCCAAACTGTATTGCCTACTAAAAAAGAAAATTAAAATTTTAAAACGGTTAAAAAAAATTGACCCCATCACCTGTCATATCAGCCTGTTTTAATTCTTTGAAGGATACCTACTCTACATTTTCTTATGTCCTCATTAATTTGATTTCTCTCTTTCTTCTCTAACTTACAAAAAAATATACTATGTGAAAGTAGAGATTTTTGTCTGTCTTATTCACCCTGGAGCAATCAGCACCTAGAACAGGATCTAGCAACAAAAAGTCACCCAATAAACGTTTACTGAGTAAGCCTGCACTTACTAAACTTAAGCAACCTTACCTTATCTCCTAAACCACTTCTTCAGAACTCTGAGCTTAGTGACCCACATCGATGTTTTCACTAATACTTTGTGTGTGCCTCTATCTCTGCTGTTTTCAGACTGTATTAAAATTACCCATTTGTGTGTTGGGCTCGCTCAGAAAACTGTCGTTGGCTTGAGGTCAGAGACTTGAGTGCCTGGCATACAGTAGGTACTCAGTAAATATCTGTGAAATAAAATCAACTGAAACCACAGACTGACACTCCTAGGGGCCAAAGGGCCTCAGGGAGTACTCAAACGCTAGCACAGCAACATTCAGCCGCGTGACCCCGCAGACCACCAACAGCGCCTTTCCCTCGCTGCATTGGCACAGGTCAGACAAGCCCGGGCAGCGCCAGACTAACCCTCCCCAGGCGGCGATCGCCCGTCCCCAACCCCAAAGGAAACAGAAGAGTGACACACACACATGAGCATCCGTACCGAACACACACAAGTGCTCCCCATACACCGACAGGAACCGCCGCCCACGGACCAGCCCAGGTGCCCGCTCCAGCCATCCCTGCCCTCGCTCTGGCCTCAGGCCCACCCGGGAGAGACCGACAGGAGAACGCGGGGTTGCAGCCATGCCGCCTGCCAGTGTGAACCGCCACAAATCTCCGCCGCGGCTCAGGCTGGACTCTCGCCAGGCCGACAACCCGCCTTCGCCAGGCTCACCAGTTTGTCCCCCAAAGCAGCGGCGGGTACCCGCACAGCCTCACCTGGGCGCAGCCATGTTGGACGAAGCTGCACTACATTTCCCGTGAGCCTGCGGGGCGAAGAGGGGGCGCTCCCACAATCCCCTTCGCCGCCCTGGACTCTCGTCTTCTTGCGCAGCCTCGTTTAGGCCCCTGAGCCACTCTGCGTTATCTTGAAGACGTGGTTATTTATTTGATGGAATAGTAAGGGCTGGGAGTGCATCTAACTTCTAGTGACTCCCCACATGGTCACTGTCAAGCCCGTTGTGTCCCTTGGTCGCACAGTGATGCCTCCCCTCCTTGAGCTTGGTACATCTTTCCTCCTGAATCTTCTTAGAGGAACGGTAGAGGACCCTGGGGGTCTGAAAGGTGACCTCGCGCCCGGCGACAGAGAGGAAAGGAAAGGGAATATGCATGAGTGTGCCTGGGAAGTGGGGGGGATCATACAGGGGCAGGATGATGGGTGCAAGGAGGGGGGGGGGGGGGGGGGGGGGTGGATCCAGGAAAGATGGGCTGCCCCAAGTCACAGAGGACTCTCTGTAATTATAGAAACCATTCTCTTGTGTAGGTCTGAGAGGGCCCTGGGGGAAATGGTGCTATGTGACTGAGCTACTGGTGGAAGGTGGGAGGAGAGAGCAAAAGTAAGAAGACTAACAGGCTGGTGCGGTGCTTAAATACAAGGTAACAAACTATTAAGTAGGACCCAGCAGTGGCAGAAGGAAAGGAAAAAGATTTGGTTAACAGACCAGAAGACACGGGAGAGGATGATGATTAGCCATTGTTTTCGCTCTGATGTCACGTGTGGGACGTGAATGTACTGTCGCCATTCTGTCTGCATTGTTTTGTGAGCTGTGTGAGTGCGGGGGAGGCAACGGGAGTGAGGAGGACATCACTTCCTGGAGTGCCGATGCATGAAGGGCCCCCATGCGGGTGCCCGTCACAGTGGACGGGCAGCAAGAGCTGGGGCTGGCTGGCCTAGGAAAATTGGCCCCTGAAGAACAGGTTAGAAGGAGGCAAGTACAGAAGTTGGGGGGCAGATGGGCAGCCACTGCAATAGTCCAAGTAGGAGAGGATGAGGCTGAGGCTGAACTGCAACGGTGAAGAGCCAAGTGCAAGCCGGAGAGGTTAGACACACACCGCCAACGACCTGAGCGAGTATAAGGGAAAACCTGCTCTGTCTCGCCATTGTGTTCTTCTGCACAGCTAGATGCATTCAGAAACACACTCCACCGGAGCTTTCTACGATGATGAAATGTGTTAGTTGTCCAGTATGGTAGCCACCTGACCATATGTGGCTTTTGAGTATTTCAAGTGTGGCCAGTACAACGAAGGAACTGAATTTTGAATTTTTATTTTTATTTGGTTTTGATTAAATTTAGATAGCTGCATGTGGCTAATGGCCAGCAAATTGGACAACAATGTAAAGTATATCCTCTTGGCCAAATTCAACTATTTCATCTTCTTATTCACCCTGCCTGAAGGTACTAAAGCTTTTAAAACTTCAATTTCTTAGCCTCCATGAAGCCACCTTAGTTATCTTAATTCTCTTTATACATTCTGATCACTTGTTTTTAGAGTTTTTCACTAGCTTGCCTTCATCTTTCCACGGTTAAACAGAAGCAGTCCTTCTGGTTTTGTTTGACCCTCTTCTCTTATTCTATAGTCTTTCCCCATCTGCTGCCCCAGAGTTTGAGGGATTTGTGAATCATTCCCTAATCTTTTATCTTCAGCCGTGACTTCCCTTTGGGAGGCAGTTTGGTTTAGTGAAAACAATATGGGCATTGGGGTATGACCTGATGCAGAAACTACAGAACAGCACTTGCCTTTGGGGATTGATGTAGTAATTTCTTACTATAAAATATCTATTAAATGGTTGTTCATTCCTTTTCTACCTTTCTCGTCTTGAGTTACAGGCAATAATTCCAACTACACACTGTCCATCCTTGCCTCCAAATACTTAGAAAAAGGTGGATACATAAAAATTTTGCATGAAATCCTTTTTATACAGGCCCTTCTCTTTTGCTTGGAATACTGCATGGATCGTTTCTCCCAGAGAAGATGACTCCCTGAAGCGATTTTCAGCTACATTAAGGCCCTGTTTTATTCATTATGTAATTCCAGGGTCTTCTATAGTCTTGTAATAATAGAAATCTAATAAACGTTGAGCTGAAAAGAAACTTAATTTGAAGGTAGAATTCATCTTCACCTGTGCCAAAAGCTTTACGTGGTGATCTATAATAATTTCTCAAAGGTATTAAATACTGTCCGAATGACTTTTTCCTTAGTAAAATTCATCTCAGCTTTTTGGTAGGAGCAGTCCTCTGGATGACGGGTGAAGGGGTTGGAAAGATTTTTCTAAAAAGGACCAGATAATAAATATTTTCTACTTTGTAGTCACACATGGTCTCTGATCACTTATTCTTTTTTTGCTCTGGTTTGTTTTTGTTTTTTGTTTTTTAAACAACCCTTTGAGAATCTAAAAACCTTCCTTAGCTCCCCTGGCTTATGCCAGCAGGATTTGGCTCACGGGCTATAGTTTTCTGACCCCTGGACCCCCTTCCTGGACTCTGTAATCCTAAGCACAGTCTCAAGGTGAAGCTAAGATTGGTGTGAAGATGTTTATTATGAATTACAGTATAAATGAATTTAATCAGATTAGTCAATACAACATTTTAAGCACAGAAAAGCAGAGGTCTATCCTACAGTAGAGCTCCAGAAATCAAGGCTAGGAGCACCTATCATTCAGAACTGGTTTTAGTTGCCAATGACAGAAAACTAGACAGACTGCTCTAAAAAAAAGTGATTTTTCCTCAACTGACAAGCCATCCGGACAAAAGCCATCATTGGTATTGGTTCTACTGTTCAAAAATGTCATCGAGAACCCAGGTGCTTTCCACTCCTCCCACTCCACCACCCTTTGTACGTTGACTTTTTGTCCTCATTCTTGATGTCTCCTGGTTACAAGATGGCTGCTGCAGCTGCTCCAGATATCTTGTCCCCATACTAGTGTCTCTAGCTGGAAAAAAAGGAGCAGAGTCTCTGCCTTCTCATCCAGGAAATGAAGTTCCCAATGGACTCCTTCTTGTTTCTTTGATCATACATGGACTGCATATTATAGGGGGCAGAATAATGGGCCCCCAAAGATAATCCACACTCTAACCTTTGGAAACTGTGAATATGCAGGAATAATGAAGTTTGCAGACCTCAAAATAAAATATCTAGGGGTCCAATATAACCATGCAATTCCTTAAGAATAAAATATCCAACCCTCTGGTTCCCTTTCCCATCAGATCTGAACACTGGTCTTGGTGGTTGTTAAAGGAGGAAAAGGAACAATGAAGCTGGCCTCCCAGTATCTATAGTCTGGTATACAGCTTGTGGGCTCCTTCAAACAAGGTCTGAATACAAAACCAGCAAACAAAAACCAGAACATCTACTCTGGCCAGAGCAAGAGAGATCGAGCAGAAGAAATCAAAAAGACTGGAAGTGTAAAGGATTTGACATACTGTTGCTGGCTCAGAGAGGTAAGAGTCTGTGTGCAGGGTCTGGAGAGAGGCTTCTAGAAGCTAGAAGCATCCCCCAGCTGACAGCCAGGCCAGCAAGGAAATGGGGACCTCAGTCCTACAACCACAAGGAACTGGATTCTGTCCACAATCTGTATTATCTTGGAAGCAAATCCTTCCCACAGTATCTTGGTCAGGGCCCAGCCAGCTGACAGCCGTTCTGTCCTTATAAAAGAGCAAAAAAACCAAGCACACCAACCGAAACTCAGGGCCTACAAAACCGTGAAATAATAACTGTGCTAATTTGTTACATCGGCAATAGAAAACTACTACACATGCTTGCCCCTGACCAATCACTAGCTAAAGGGATTGGGATTGCCAAGGCTGCGTTCAGCTAGTCATGCTTAATTCCATGGGGCTGAGATGAGGCCCATCCTCCCTGTGATCAAGAGACCTTGGAAGAATACACTCTACCTGGAGGAAAGTAAAATGAGTGTTCTATCAGCAAGAAGAACAGGAGAACATGTGTTGGGCAGACAAGTAACAGCATATTCCATAAGAGGGTTAAACACTTCATGCAGCTGGATTTATCCCAAAACCCAAGAGAAAGGGACACTGGAAGGACGGGCGCTGTCATAAACTAATAAAGCACTGAAAGTTAGAATTTTAATAGCATCACGTTTCTACTTCAAGATCCCCAATCAGAAAACACCAAAGATGTTCCCAATAGTCCCTGAGACTTATTATATATTTACAATGGTTCCAAATTGTGAAATCATTTCACTGCAGTTTCAGACTTAATTCCTAATCTTAGAAGGTTTCTAATTTCCCTTCCTCCCGACCCAGATCATTTGTTTTTGGCTACCTTCTGGCTTTTTTCCCACTTGTCCTCAGTGGCAAGTGTACTACTTTTGCTTTTTTTTTTTTTTTTTTTCCTATTTATGGTTTAAAAAAAAAAAAACACTTTCATTTCTCAGTCTTTCCACTTATTCTTCTGCTACTTATTTTATCCCTCCTAGGTAAATGACAAGTTTGTATCAAATGACAAGTTTCCTTTCCAAACTTTTGTCTCTGCTGCTTCCCGGATTGCTGTCTTCTTGAAACTCCAGCAAGAATGCATTATGTAAAACCATTTGATGTTCACAGTGACATTTCAGAACCGAATTCATTATTCATGCTTTGGTGATAAAAATTCAATGAAAAGTTTGCAGTTTTGTAAGTCATATGGTGAAAGAATTCCTGTGCAGTAATTAGAGGCAAAAAAAAAAAAAAAAAAGAAAGAAAGAAAAGAAAGAAAGAAAGAAAAAAGAAAAGGGGCCAGTCTTCAATGTGTTATATAAAACATAAAAACACTGCTTGGAGGATTGGTGGTTTTTTCGGTCAGGTGCAAAACATAAGATTTTACCTATAAAACATTAATGTTTTGGGGCGCCTAACTGGCTCAGTGAGTTAAAGCCTCTGCCTTCGGCTCAGGTCATGATCCCAGGGTCCTGGGATTGAGCCCAGCATCGGGCTCTCTGCTCAGCAGGGAGCCTGCTTCCCC